GAGGGGAAGCGGCGCCGCCAGTTGGGGGAGAGGGAGTGGCAGCGGCGGAGAGGGAGGGCGAGCTGGCTGAGGGGTTGGGGAAGCGGTATCGCTGGCGGGGAGGAGGGGGAGCGGCGCCGCGCCGCTGGTTCGGAGTGAGGGAGGGGCAGCGGCAATGAGGGACTGAGGGCGCCGCTGGCTGGAGGAGAAGGAAGCGCAGCGGAGGAGAAAAGGAGATAAGGTGGGCAGGCGGAGGAAAGAAGTCCGAGAGGGAAAAAAAAGAAGGAAAGAGATAAGGTCAGGCGAAGAATCGAGACGCGCGTGACCGCGTCTTCTCTCGGCTCCGCGTCAGGAAGAAAAATGTATACGTATAACTGTAGTCTTTTACTCTCATCCGAAAGACTTGATTCATCTAAGCGACACATGTCCCGCACGAATCTCAGAGCCAAGCTTCTCTATGCCGAGCTTGGGCCGGACTGCCCACGCGGCATCAAGCTAGCTCGTGCTGCCGTTCTACGGCTAGAAAGATACTCTGTATCTCATGATTTGGAAGAAGCCGCGTGTGCCTGCGTTATCAATTCGAATCGCTTCTAGACCTGCAATGCAAAGAGTTGCCTCGATGGTGAAGTTATTCAATGGTTAGATTTTGTTTGCCGTTGAGTTTAGTTTGTAGAGTGAATTTCATTGATAATCTTTGCTGGGCCGGACTTGTACATTGAAGTTGTAACTTTTTCTCTATATCCGATCGAGATTACGTTCGTGTAGTGTGACACGAAGTCCGTGTGTTTGGTTAATGTGAAATAGGCTGTTTTGAAAAAAAAAGGAAAAAGTACGAATTACTCCCGAATTATTGCGGTCGTCCGAATTACCCCCATGAACCACAAAACCAGACATTATTTAACCCCAACTATGTAAACCGGACGAATTACCTCCCTCGACCTAATCCGCGGTAGTTTTGGTCTACGTGGCGTACGCGTGGCAGTCCAGTCAGCATTCTATTTATTAAAAATGTAGGACCCACTTGTCATATCTTCTTCCTCTATTCCTCTCTCTCTCTTCTTTCTCTCTCACACGCACGTCAGCAGGCGGGGATAGCGGCGGCGGCGCGCACGCACGCCGACCAGGGCCGGAGGCGGCGGCATGGCCGAGATGCGCATGGCAGCGAGGACGGCGGCACGCGCGCATGCGAACAGGGGCCGGAGGCGGCCGCGAGGACGGCGGCATGCACGGCGCTGCGGCGCGCACGGCGGCACGCACGCGGCTGCAGGCTCGAGGCCTCGACCTCCCTCCGCCCCGCGCGCTCGTCCTTCTCGATGCGCCGCCCCTTCCACGTAGAGTTCCGCGTCGTCGTCAGCGTCTCCAGTGGGCCCAACTCGAGGTGGTGGCTCGTCGATCCCGCGTGCAGGAGCTAGAGCTTGCTCGGCGGCTCATCGATCCCGCGGCGGAACTCGAGGAGGGGCGGTCGCCATCGCCGTTGCCGCGCCCCGTGCCGCCGCATGCCGTCGTCGCTCGCGTCGCGTGCCATCGCCATCTCCCATCGAACCCCGCCCGTGCCGCGCGCCGTCGCCCGTCGCCGTCGTCATCTCAAGCCCCGTCTGCGTCCCCGTGTGCTACCGCCATCGCGTCGCCTCCTCGCTCCCTGCCCCGCTGTGCTGTGCGTGCCGCCGTCCTCGCTGCCGCCTCTGGCCCCCGTCCGCGTGCATGCGCGCGGCCGCCACCGCCCCCGCATGCTGCCGTGCGCGTGAGAGAGAGAGGGGAAGAGTGAGACAGGTAGTGAGAGAGATAAGAGAGAGGAATAGTGGAAGACGATATGATAGGTGGGTCCTACATTTTTTTATAAATAGAATACTAACTAGAGTGCCACGCGTACGCCACATAGACCAAAACTACCGCGGATTGGGTCGAGGGGGGTAATTCGTCCGGTTTGCATAGTTAGGGTTGAAGAATATCCGGTTTTGTGGTTTAGGGGGTAATTCAGACGACCGTGATATTTCAGTGGTGGTACCTTCTATCTAGACATTGACAAAAAATTGTGTTCACGCACAACATGAAGAATATTCTCTTAAAGCGCTTGGATGATGAAAGTATCATAATTTTAGTTTTCCGTAGCTACGCACGGGTATTTTTTCTAGTATATATCTTTACCTATTATAAAAGTTTAAGATATTTTTGCCAAGAATTTTTCGTACGTTGTCCGATTCCCTCCCCGTGATCTTTTTTTTGCGATTTTTCCGTGTTATTTTCCAGTCCGACTCCCTCCCCGTTCCCACTCGTGTCGCACCACAGCGCCAGTACCACATAAGGCGGATGTTGCACAAATTCAAATATCGATACAAAATCCAATCGGACATAGAATATAGAGAAAAAGAAAATGAAACAAGAAGAATAAAAAAACTGCACAAATAAAAAAATCGCACAAAAAAAAAGCCCACGACCGGCTCAAATCGATCCAATTTTCTTCATTGAGTACTTCAATGCCCATCCCCAAATTGAAGATGAATATACGAACAACAAACAATAATCCCCATATCCTTATTTCAACATATGAACAACACATACAAATCCTCAAGATAAAAAAAAGCATGAATAAACATGAACAAATCACACGAGTAATTCATTATCATCGCCTTCGTCACTGCTTCTGCTTCTGGTGTGGGAGGAAGAACAGGAGGGGGTGGCGTCACCATCGCACCTCCTAGATCAGCCCATCTCTGACCTCCAACACCAATGGATCGGCCAAGCCACCAGAGGAAAGTAGAAGAGAAAGAGAGGAGAAGAAGGGCATTTGTCGCACCTGCAGCCCGCTGTCACCGTCAGCTCGTTACCATGGAGGTCGTCGCCGGTTGATGCCGTAGCCGGCGGCGGGAGGAGTCCGGAAGACCGAGTCGCCGTCGCCGCCGCCTCGAGTCGTCGTGCCCTTGCCGGGAAGGGTGAGTGCAGGAAGAGGAGGAGATGGAGCAGAAGAGGACGGATCTGGGACGCCGGACCACCGCCGCCTCCCCTCCCGCCAGAAGGGAGGGCGCCACCGCCTGCCACCACCCATCAGCATCGAGCCCTCCCGCGGCCCCATGGCGAGGGAGAGGAGGCGAGGGACGGAGAGGCGTCGCTGCGCGGAAGGAGAGCCGCGGACGCCGAGGAGTAGCTTGCCGGTGCTGCTCCCCAGCTCGTTGCGCACCGCTGCTCCTGCTCTCTACTCTCTAGGCATCATTGCCGCGGGACGGCGGGTCGTGGGTAGAGGGAGAGAGGAGGCGTGGAGAACTAGAGAGGAGAGGAGAGGATGTGTGGCTGGTGACAGGAGAGAGATGGGGAAAGAGAGAGAGAGTAAACGAGAGAGGGTGGATAGAGATAAGGTTCTTTGATTAGAAACATTCACGATATTTTCTCAGTAAAGTACTGTACCAGCTTCTGTTTTCTTATACTAAAATGAAATCTACGACCTAGATATGCTATTCATTGAATTGAATTCCGCTGAAAAATTACAGTGGGTTGAGATACACATATATACTTAGTGTTGTTTTCTTTAATTATTATTTTTTACTAGTGAAAATACTCGTGCGTTATAACGGGTGAAAAAAATATTTAATCATAACATACGTTTTTCACGAATAACCATGTCAATAACAATATTTGTATGGATCGTTTGTAGCTAAGACAATAAGAAAATTGGAACATCTTCAATGTAATCTCGCATGTTTTTATTTAATTTTTTTACGGACGATGGAAATACATTTTTTCTCACGCATTTTTTATTTTTTACAAAAGACAGAAAACATTATTTTAACGCTTTTTCTGACTTTTTTCTCACGCATTTTTAATCGTTTTTATTTTCTCATGTTTTTTTAGTTGTAGAATGAAAACTTCTCTTTTTAAGTAGTTATATTAGATTAGAATTAGAGAAGAGATATATACTGTCTACTAAAACGAACAGAAATCGGACTTCTTTTCCATGCTTTTTTTCCGCTCTTTTTATTTTTTTTCATGCGTGTTTTTTTATTTATACGAGCCATTTTTTCACCACTTTCTTAGGAAATCGGATGAACTTTTTTTTACATGTTTTTTAGATTTTTTTTATTTTTCGTCTTTTATAGGAATCAGACATTTTTCTATTTTTATGGGAATCGGATCTAGCTTTTTTTCACTTTTTTTCACCTTTATAGGAATCGGATTTTTTCACGTTCGGACCTATGGTTTTTTTGCCACTTTGTGGAACCGGATTTTTTTAGTTGTTTTTCGCTATTTTTTCCTTTTTTAGGGGGAATCGGATCTACGGTTTTTTTTCCACTTTTTAGGGTAGTCGGACTTTTTTTTTTTGCTTTTTCACTATTTTTTTATTTTGACGGACGAAGGAAACGTTTTGAAAATTTTGAAGTAGTAGAGATTGCTGACACCAAAATCACCAAAACTTTTCTACTATTATAAAAATTGAAGATAATTTTACCGGTACTCTGGTACGTCATCCGTGTATGTGTTGGTTTTTAACCGTATTGAAAAATACAGTTCGTTCGCTTTTAGAAATCCAGATCTATATTTGAGCTAGGTTTTAATTTCGTTCGCTTTTGAAAATACATAAGGAGTCGTATAAAAAATCTCTTGAAAAAAACTCGCATGCTAACTTAACATGATTTAATCTCTTGAAAAGAAAAACTTGCATACTAACCTGACATGATTTTCTAGAAAAATATATATCCAAGCGAATTCTCACAGTTAATGTATAATAAGATTAAAATAGCATTCACCAGTTGCAACGCACGGGCATTTATATATATATATATATATATATATATATATATATATATATATATATATATATATATATATATATATATATATATATATGATGTGCGCCGCGTTGTGTTTCGCTTTTTGGCAGTTCGATCGATCTTATCTCGTTTTTCTTCTCCGAATCATCTTCCACAATGCATGTTGGACCAGACGCGCCAAGTCGATGAACGAACAACTAGCCTGCTAGATCGGTATATACACGTACATATATCACTGTAGGTGTTGGAATTTGAATCATCATGGCGGCGGCCGACCTCCTACCGGACGACGTGCTGGAGGAGATCCTCCGCCGCCTCGCCCCGTCGCCGCGCAGCCTCGCCGCGTGCCGCGTCGTCTGCAAGGCCTGGCGCGCCGCCGTCGACACCCGGTGCCCGCCCCCGCGCCCGGACCTCCTCCCGCTCTCCCTCGCCGGCATCTTCTTCTCCGGCTTCTACTTCGCACATGAGTACCTACCGGGGTTCTTCGCACGGCGGGGGCACCATCACTGCGACCGGATCTTCCCCAAGCTCGACTACCTCGACGACGCACCCATCTCCAAGCTGGAGGCCATCGACCACTGCAACGGCCTCCTCCTAATGCAAGAGTACATCGTCAACCCGGCCACGCGGCGGTGGGCACGGCTGCCCCCGACGCCGGAGTGGAGCCCCGCGGGATCGGACTTGGAGGCGGTGGTCACCGACTCATGTCGCGAGGAGTACCTCGTGTTTGACCCAACCGTCTCGCCGCACTACGAGGTGTTCTCCATCCCCGAGCTTGTCTTCTGCAGAGGTGATGACAAAGACAATGCCGAATCGGTGGTAAGACAGCATGAGTGGCCGCCATCGCCATTTGTCGTGCAAGTCTATTCGTCGGCGACGGGGAGGTGGGAGAAAAGGTCGCTCGTCCGGCGAGGGGAGGCCGCCGGGACCATTGCTGATGTGCACTACTCATCTTGGATGGCAAGTCACCACCTCTACGGCGTTTATTGGCGGGGTGCACTTCACGTTCAGATGAAAAATAACGATGTTATAAGGTATTAGCTTCCTCCGTTTTATATTATAGATCATCGCTTTGACTTTTCTTTTCAAGTTAAACTTATTCAGGTTTGATCGAATTTCTTAACAAGAGAGCAAGCACTCACTCAAGCTCATTAATTATTTGCTCATCGTTTTTAAACTCAAGGAATAAAAATAAATTAAATAAAAACATACAATCAGTTTGAGAAAACAAAGAGCAAATTGATTTATCTTTTGCTTTAAGTAATTATTAATTCTTTTCCTATCATTTGATTTATTGTTAAATATATTTTATGTAGGCATATAATTTTACATATTTCACAAAAGTTTTTGAATAAGATGAACGGTCAAACATGTACTAAAAAGTCAACGGTGTCAAACATTTCGAAACGGGGGAAGTATTTGCTAATTTGTTGGTTTTGCAGAATAACCTTGTTAGATGACAAGTATCAAGTGATCAAGTCACCAAGCGATATCAATCTAAACAATCATCCTTATATTTACCTTGGAAGATCAAAGAAGGGGGTATGCTGTGCATCAATTGATGACAAACAACATCAGCGTCTTCAGGTTTGGCTGCTGCACGAAGTACTGCTTGGTGGTGGTCAGATGGAGTGGATGCTGATACACGACGTCAGTCTCGAGCAGATCATGGCAGATTTCCGCTGGAATCCTGAAGCTGTTAAGCCATGGATCAAACATAATACGTACCGTGGCGAGAACAAGAATAATGAAGAAATATCAGAAGATGAATCTCCTGGTTGGGACTCTGAGGATGATAGCATCGTTGTTTATACGGAAGATATGGTACGATGGGACATGAATGGATACACTTATATCCTTGGACTCCATCCTTTTAAAGAGATTATCTTTTTATTTAACTCACATCAGGATAGAGTATGGGCTTACCACTTACACAGCTCAAAGGTTGAATTCTTGGGTATGTTATGGGTAGGCTTTTCAGAGGAGATAGGGCGACGCCTTGTTGGATTGGAGATTTATCTTAAAACATTTTGTTACTAATTTATAATAATCCATTATTAGTATACTCAAGACGGATCTTCGTGGTCATATGGCCATCTTGTCTCCGTAGTTTCTTTCATCCACAGGTGTATGACTGGCTATGGGCTTCGTGTACATGGCGTCGTTACATGGGTAGAGACGATGATGGTGTTCTTTAGAAAATTGGTCCTTAGGATTTTTCTTTGCTTCACTGGTGGGCCATCTGATAAATGGTGAATGGCTTATAAAGATTGTGGTTGCGTTGACAGATGGTGGCGTAGGAACAAATCTAGTTCGGGATTGGAGCACAGCCTCTCTAATGTTTACTTAGGGGTTCTATGGATCTATTATTTCGGATGTACGAATATTATGATCTTCAAAAGCCACTATACAATTGTGGTTTGTCTGAATTTTTCTTGGTTCTTTGTTTGTCCTCTCTTCCACTCGTGACAGGATTGGTGAGAATCTGGAACAACATAGGGTGGCTACGGTTGTGATGGATTGTTATGACCTGAGATTGGTTGAGATGAACAGAGAGAAACAGAGGAGAATAGCGAAAACATAGTAAATGAGTTGTTTGATGGTATTTTGTAGAATAAAACTTTATCAGTGGCAATATTTTAGAACCCACGCTTTGTCGATAGCATGGAATGGATTATCTTTAAACTAAATGCTTTGTTCTAACCTACGTATAATGATTTGCACATATACATAAATCTCTAAAACATGAATTCAAGGGTCAAGCGATATTTTTTCGGTCAGCAATTGGCCTCGCGCATATATTTTGAATCTCCAGCAACAATCAAATGGCCAACAGTACACCATATCACTAACATCCAAATTTTCAAACACACGTTACTGAAATTGATCCAAACAGTTTTGGCTATAGACATCGGCTGTATTCAGCCTTGAAACCTATTCCACTACGACATATCACTGCATTGCAGCTCATTCCGCATCAGATTCTACCATGTCGTCGTTGCTGTCCTGTTCAGTAATGCCCTCCCTCTCCAATTCATCCATAAGGCTCCTACCTACACAGGCCATGCCGCGACCGCCACCCCTTCCACTTCCACGTGGTCTCCCTCTCCTCCCTCTACCCCTGCTCATTGCCTTCCTTACCTTTTCGAAGTTTGCGGGATTTTTTGGGCAGGTAGTTGTGTAATGGCCATCCCTCAGTCCACACCAGCTGCACACCCTAGTACAGAGCTTCTTCCCCCTTGCACCAAGTGATACATTCTCTTCTGGACCTACTGTCCGCTCTTTAGTCTTTGGTTTGGGTGGTGGTTCTTGGCTTATGACTTCAGCTGATGTGCCCGCACCATTGTTGCGTGCAACGATATCATCCCTACATGCCACGCTGTCTGGAAGCATCTCTTTTCCTTTCGCAGCACTTTAAGGGCGGCCATGGCTATTTCAAATGCAACCCTTGACTTACTACCTAACCGTACAATAGCCATTGCCTCAGCTAGCAGTGTCTTTTGTCGGTAACTTTCTTCCACACTGTCAGGTCCAGCTGTAACACGGTCACGCCTGTCAAATGACATGTCACTTCTGGCTTTCATCGTGTAGCGTCAGAGCACATACTGAGGTGGTATCTTCTCGACCTGAGCATGGATGAATGTCCGAAGAAGGTGCGTGCATAATAAACCTAACACAAATAAGCAATTTACCAGCAGAAACAAACAATTCAGCAAGCTAAATTTGTTATTATGTATCTCGGACTGGAATCAGAAGAGTTTTGTTCTTACCAGTATGTTCCCACTGCTTGCACTCACATTCATAACGACCTTTCTGAACGTCCGCTAACACTTTAAATTGTAGTTGGCACCAATCATGCTTCTCAGAATGCTCCATGTCCAACACAATCCACCTGTTTGTGTTGCCAATGTCCATGTCGATCCTGAAAGCTGTGCAATCATCCAATGCCTCCTCGAACAACTTGAACACAGCTCTTGTGTACACCCTTGACATCTGCACCACGAATGACCACCTTGTCTTTGTTATCGGCATGCCCTGCATATGCGATGGTATTAAAAACAAAGTGGCCCACTAGTCAGCAGGGAATGCAAAAATAGGCAACGATATACATACCAAACAAGCCCTGGTCTCAGCAGCCTCCTTCGCTTCCCGTGAAATTATGATATCAAGCATCCTACGCGCAAAACTGTGCAGATTGGTTTGGTGATCGACGAAATTTCTCTTAGCTAGTTTGTTCACACTCTCACTCTGCTGAGTAGATGTCATCCTGCCACAGTAGTCCTTCTTGAAGAGCGCTGGGATCCATCTGTGCCTTATTTCGTACAAGTTTTGCAGGGTCACACTATCCTGCAAATCAAACTCATCAATGAACCACGACCACGCATTTTCAAACTCCTGTGGGGTGTATGTCTGGTTCACGCACAACAACAATTCCGATTCAATGCGATCGTCCCTTGCATATAGAATGTTGAGTGCCTCAGAGTGATTCTTCAGTATGAGCCACCTGCACAGCCTATGTATTGTCTTCGGAAAGACATTTGTTATGGCCACCGCGATCACATTGTCCTGGTCTGCAGATACACAAGATTAGTGAATACTTATCTTATCAGTTCACAATGTGTTTACTGCTGAACCATGAGCTATTGTTGACATAAACATTGAAGGAATTACTTGCCTGTTAGCACGCATCTAGGCGAGGGGCAATCCTCCATACAGTTTTTGAACGTTTTGAATAGCCATTCGAATGATTCTATCTTCTTGTCTCGCAGTAGTGCACAACCAAACAGAGTGTCTTGTATATGGTGGCTTGCTCCAACGAACATCGCCAAGGACATCCCATATATGTTCGTCTTGTATGTCGTGTCCAGAGTGACTGCATCACCAAAGTCCGCATACTCGGCCTGACTGCTAGCATGGCTCCAAAAAATGTTCTTCACCACACCATCCTCATCGAGCTGCATGTCCCAGTAAAATTTAGAGTTCTGCATCTTGCATTCACTGAAGAAAGCGAACAGTTTGTTGATATCATCCGCCATCTCCGCGCGTTTGTTAGCAGCCCTCCTGTGTAAATAAATATCACAGATTCAATATGAAACTGTAGGGGGTTACTGATGCACCAACACAACATGCGAAGTGACAAAAAAAAATATTCAGCACTTCAACAGCACCATATAATACCTGATTTCCACGTCCGGTGATGTGAATGGGACATTTTCCTGACCTTCATGCATGTTTTGGGTAACACGACACTCTTGCACCGTGTCAGCTCTGTTCCTATGCACTTCAACAGCACCATATAATACCTGATTTCCACGTCCGGTGATGTGAATGGGACATTTTCCTGACCTTCATGCATGTTTTGGGTAACACGACACTCTTGCACCGTGTCAGCTCTGTTCCTATGCGACCTCATTTGTTTGACAGCTGATGGCGATGGCGATGGCGTCAACGGGTGGTTGTGCCCTATAACGACGACGTCAAAAACTACAGATGACAATTTGCCGTCAGTTGTGACATTCTTGATTTTAACATATGCTTTGCAGCCAGTCCTCTTCGATGTCCGTTTCCTCTCCCTGTTCGCCTCATCGCCCCTGTATTTGTGCCTCCCCTCCCTTGCGCAGCATATCTCCCGTATCGTCCGCTTCAATCTGCTTTTCCTGACATCAAAACCTGCATGGCATGCGTATTTCTCATAGAAATCGTACGCGTGATCAAACGATTCGAACACCATCCCCTCCTTCGGCACCAAGTCAGAACTAACCCCAGGTCCCTGCCAGTAGTCAAATTTTTACAATCATGCATACGGTGAAACTTCACGCTAACAGACTAAACAAAACAATGCTTAATTGCTTTCAGTAAGGCCTTGTTCATTTAATCCCTCACCCAAGGGGATTGAAAAGGATTCGAAGGGGATTAATTTCCTAACTAATCCCCTCCAATCCCTTCCTCATGGGGATGGATAACTAGGCCTAAAATGGATCCGACTGTGCAAAATAGATTGGAATGACTCCGATGCACAACTGCTATCAATAAAATGGATCTGAAATGGGGGTTTGTGGGGGGGGGGGGGGGGGGCTCACATGGGTGTAAACCATCGATCGACTCGGGGTCGCCAGATTCGCCGGCTGCGGAGCACGAAACCGTGCCGCCTCCACGCTCCTCAGTGGGATCGACTCCTCCTCGCAGGTGCGGCGGCCATGGCACGCCGACGACGTCGTCGGCACATCACCATCGCCGCCGCGGCCGCCGCCGCCGCTACGCAAGCGCGAAGCGACGGGCAAGGCGGCGGAAGCAGATGATGGAGAGGGTGGCGCCAGGGTCGGGGCCGAGCACGGCGACTCCGGCGATCGCATACCGGCGGCGAAGTAGGATCGCCGCGGACGGAGGAGCCTTTGGTGGTTGTCTTCCTGGAGCGACACGAGACGACGCTCACATCGGTTTTTACTTTTTTACCCCACGGTCAATTGTTTTGCGGGGAAGTTACTGCTCCTTCCGTTTTTCCTGTGGAAGCGAGCGTATTATACGGGATGTTTTCTTCATTTTTTGCGAAATATGCGGATCTATCAAACGAGGAGTCGAGGAGCAGTTACGCAAATAGTTTTTCTTCACGATAATTTTTTAATTCATGTATTTAGAGATATAATAAATTATGTGTTCAGTAATTTTATGACCGGTATCTAAGTAAACAATACATGCAGCAGTACTCTTAGCGAACAATAGCCTCTAAGCCATTTTGTAGAACATGATACTCGCTCCGTCCCGAAATATTTGACGCCGTTGACTTTTTAGCATATGTTTGACCGTTCGTCCTTCGTCACGTTGCTGACCGCAAGGACGGTGGTGGCGGGACGCTCTCCCCACGAGTAATCCCAGTAGCGGCAGGTCGCGGGAGGCAGTGGTCAGGTGGTAAGCGCGGCGGATCCAGCCACGTCGGAGGTAGATCCGCCTCGCCCGATGGCGGATCTGGTCCCCCCTGGCCAGATCGAGTTGGAGAGGTGGCGGTAGCGGGAGTGGTCGGCGGTGGCAATGGCTAGATCCGACGGGAGGCAATGGCTGGAGTAGTCAACGGGGTGGATCCCCCCTTCCCTGAGGCAGACCTATGGCGCAACCCAGTGAGGCGCGGGGTGGCACGGTGGTTGTGACCAGTGGAGTAGGAGGCCGACGTCGCGGCGAAGGGTGGTTCCGATAGCGGCGGAGCTCACGGCGACGGCGGCGACAGATGCCAATACAGCATGCACGAGGAGGCGCGACAGGTGGCGGTGAAGGCTGACGCGGTGTGAGGAGGTGCGCCGGCGATGGCGGAGGTCAATGCGACAAGGGTGACACCACGAGGAGACTGGCAAAGCGGTGGGCTCTGGTGCAGCGGTGCCCATGCGCCGGTGGAAGTTAGATGGCATTGGAGCAATGGTACGTCAACTATGGATAGGCTGTCGGCTAGCGGCAGGGGAAACCTAGCCCGGCTTTGGGCGGGTCAACAATGGTGGCATTTTCGAGCATCACTCCCCCTCTTGAGGGTGTTGGTGTGCCGTCTCATCCCCTGTAGTGGGACTGCCGGGTGAAATCCCAGTTTGCATTCTTTTTGAGACCTCGACGGCAGTGGTGGCGGCTCTTTCGTCGCTTCTCTCCTTGGAGACGTCGTCTAGGTAACCTCTTGCCGAAACCTCCCAAACATCTAGTGCAAGCTCGCTTTAAATTCATGTCTTTTTGGGTTGTCGCCCTAGCTTATGCAAGTTGACCACGTCGAAGGGTCTAGGGGAGAGCAGTTCTCTTCTTCCCTGTCACCCCCTCTCCCTCAATCCCAAAAATAAATATGGATAGAGTGGGGTTTGTGTTGGTTGTAAGGGTTGGGTTTTGGGCGATCTCGGTTGTAGTTCTTTTGTTGGCCTAGCGACAGCTGGTCTAATGCTAGCATTCTATTCGGTCTTTCTGTTGGTGATGACGGGGCGTAGATAGTGGTATATTTTTTTCATTTTCCTAGTCACGACCACGGATCAGATCCGTAATCTTAGTAATTTTTTTTCATACTCTATCCTTTAAAAAAAATCAAGGTTCACGAAGAAAAGGTCGATGTGTAGCACCAATGTCAGATCCAAATTATCAAAGCAGCCATACTATGTTACTCCAGAATGAAAATTTCTCGTCTTCTGAATGTAGTAGGAGTACTTCAATTTTGTTGCATAACGCCACATTTCGGACAATTAAGAGGATCGCCTCAAGTGATCATATCGAAAACATCGATGGTCACATCAAGAACTATCTGAAAAGTTTTATTCAAACTTGTTGTGTCGAGCACAAAAGTCTGCAAAGCTTGTCACATTATCCAAGGCCACTGATCGGAGATGCTTAAGTTCAATCTTAGGCCAAAATTACAGATTCCGCCAGTTTGGCAAAAGTTTTTAACAATGCATGTCACATCGAATATACAGATACACATTTGAAATATTAAACATAGTCTAATAACAAAACAAATTACAGATTCCGCCAGAAAACCGCGAGACGAATTTATTGAGCCTAATTAGTTCGTCATTAGCAAATGTTTATTGTAGTACCACATTGTCAAATCCGTCGAATCCGAATTTATTAAGCCTAATTAATCCATCATTAGCAAATGCTTACTGCACAATTAGGCATAAAAGATTGGGACAATTTCTTATTTGGCTCCGTTTTAAAGTCTAACTACCAATTTGACCCTACCTTTTTTAATTTATTTATTTGACCCTGTTTTTTGAAAATGAACCTTACCCTGTTTTAACTACACCATTAAGATTTGAATTTTAAAAAAGAAATAAATATAATTAAAATCCGTAATACCCAAAATACCCTTGGGGAAACCATATCCATCCCTAATCCTATCCACATGTGTCTGTCGCTATCTCTCTCGTGCCGGCGTCCGGCGTGTTGTGGCAGCGGCGCTCGTGGAGGAAGGGGGCGGCGCCAGCGGGAAGAGCATGTCTCTCTCTCTCATGCCAGCGTCCGGCGAGTTGCGGCGGTGGTGCTCATGGAGGAAGGGGGCGGCACCGGTGGGAAGAGCATCTCCCTCCCTCTCTCTCTCTCGCCGGTGTCCGACGAGATACGGCGGTGGCACTCGTGGAGGAAGGGGGCAGCGTCGGCGGGAAGAGCGCGGAGGGGATCTGCGCCGGCGCCGCTCGTGGAGGCAGGGGCAGCGGTGGCGGGAAGCACGCGGAGGGGAAGGAGCAGCGTCGGCTCACGGAGGAAGGGAGCTAGCGGCGGCGCCGAGCCTCTGTGACGGCAGCGGCGCGTGGTGGAGCCGCGCGCGCTGTCGTGTGAGGTGGCGGCGCGTGGTGGAGCGGCGCGCGCCGTCGGGTGAGGCGGCGGCGTGCGCCGCGGAGAGGGAGGCGGAGGCCGGCGATGGTGGCGACGCACAGCGGGAGCTCGCCAGTGCGCGGGCAAAGGGAGGAAGGGGGGCCCGGTGAAGTGCGAGAGCTCACCGGCGTGCGGAAGCCAGATGGTTGTCGGCGGTGGTGCATGCGTAGAGGAGAGCTCGCCGGCTCGAGGAGGCCGGCTGACGGCGGCGCGTGCACTTGGGGAGGGAGCCACAATCAAATAAAAAAAATTTTGGTTGAGTAAAAAAAATTTAGAAACTAGGGTCAAATAAGCAAGGGTGTAAACGTCTTTTTTTTTCGAGAGTTAACACCGTTAGCTTGCCTTCACGGAACATGGTCAGGTCTCATCTTCATTTTTAAAAAGAAGGGCCAAATGACAAAACCTAAAAAAGTATGGTCAAATTGGTAGTTACCCTCCAAAACATGGTCAAATGTGCGATTGCCCCTAAAAGATTCGTCACACAATTTACATGCAATCTGTGCAATTGTTTTTTTGTCTACATTTAATATTTCATGCATGTGTCCAAACATTCGGTGTGAATGGTGAAAATTTTTGTTTTGGAAACTAAACTCTGCCTTACTTCTGATTAGTATAACGACGACCTAGTCAGCAGAAGCTCATTAAGCCGTTTCCTCACATTCTCAAAAGTCATAGACTATGTGACATCTTAGATAAGCAATGCTGCCATGGCACTTGTGTGATCGTCCAATTCCATTCTTTTGTTTTTGCCAATTATGAATGGAGATTCATAAATAGACTTCAATATATATCTTCTTATTTTACATTTGGTTATTTCTTTTTTTTTGTTGGTGTTTTCAATTTTATTTAAACTACACTGTTTTTAGAGTGTTAGATTGTAATAATTGGCTATAGGTCTTCTGAGCAAAGATGTTTTCTATTCCATTATTAAAAAAATACCAAGAGTCAAATTAACATTATTAGATTATTAGATTTGTAGTGCACTCCTTAAAAAAATGATTTGTAGTGTTCATATTTCTAATATCAACTATGAATATATTGTAGGTATAGACGAGTTCAAAAATATAGATTTTAATCAATCATTAAAACTTTTATTTTATTTTTAATTAATAAAGTAATAGCAGCTAAAACACTATAACCGATAAAAAAATATTATAATTATATGCATACATACTCTCCCCTTTGACTCTCTCTTCCTCTCTGTCTCTTATTTAATTCTTTGGTCTTCTAAATTTTAACTGATTAATCAAAATGATTAATAATTAGAAAACTAAATAATTACATTTTTAAGTTATATCCTACCTACTTTTAGTTTACTTGAATTTGTTTTATTTATAATTAAATATATACTTCAAGATCTATATTACCCATATTTTATGTTATTAAAATAAGAATTTTTCATTTGAACATATACACTAATCCTTTACAAGTAAGAGCATCTCCAGCAGGGTCCTCAAACAAAGTCCCTAATAAGTTTTGAGAGTTGATGAAAAAAATATAGGTCCAGCAGCCCCCAATTTAGGGAGTCCCCTAGATCACTCCTCCAAGCCCCCAGTCCGGGGGGCTCAACCCCACAGCCCCCATCCTCTATTTTTTTTTGGCGGGGGAAATTTCTGATCGCGCGCCATCGTCATCCTCCCTCTCGCGTCATCGCCATCCTCCCACAACCTCCCAGCGAGCAAGCCGCCAGGTCGTTTTGCTCCGGCCGGTGACCACCCGACATCCCTCGGGAAGAAACTTCGGCGAGATCCCACGGTGTGCCGCCTCAAGCCATCACAATCATCGGTTTTACTCCGTCACTCACTGTCGCTGACCTCCTTGCATCTCCGGCCAACGCACGTCGTCACCGATCGATCATGCCTAGGTGAGTCTCGACGTCCTCCCCGAACTAGCTGCTCACCCGCTGTCCACAAGGCCTAGCGCCGACCATCGACAGCTATCTATCACTGGCCGCACACATGCTGCAGTAAAAAAATTCAGAGATGATGGTGATTAAAACAAATCACAATAGTAAAGTTCAGTTTCGTATGTCTGAGTCTCCTTGTTTGATTTTGATCTTTATGGGCTTACTAGGCGTCTAGGCCCATCAAAATCATTCGCACAGCAAAACGTACATTGTCTCATCATTCATGTTTTATATGCAGTGTCTTGTTCTATGTCAGAGAGCTAATCTTGCAGAGCATATATAATATTTAAGAAATAAATTTGTGTTTGTACCGAGTCCTTAGTACTGCGGAACCAATATATATGCTAAATAAATACATATTGCAAATAGTATAACCTGATGTACATTACAATCATTTGTTGATGTTTCTGAGATAGATTGGAAAGGTTGTCAATTTATATATTTATTGCAGTGACTAGATTGCAATGACAAGTGGAGGTGATTCCTTTGTGCGCATGATGTCCGAGGACACTGATGTCGAAGTGCTAATGCCAAATGAAGACCTTCGTACTTCAACAAATGGTGCAAAAGGAAGTGCCAAAAGATCAAGCAACTATACTCGTAAGGAGGACATTCAATTGTGCATTTCATGGCAGAGCATTAGCTCAGATCCTATTATTGGCAATGAGCAACCAGGGAAGGCATATTGGCAGAGGATCGCAGAGCACTACCATGCTAACCATGATTTTAAGTCTGATAGGAATGCAAACTCTCTTGAGCATCGTTGGGGTAACATTCAGAAGGAAGTAAGCAAGTTTCAGGGTTGCTACAATCAAACTGAGCGTCGACATCCAAGTGGCATACCACATCAAGAGCTTGTAAGTTAAATTGTTTATTTATGATTATTAATAACAATCTTGTATGTATGTGAACTAAAACTTAAATTATGTTGCAGGTTCTTGAAGCTGAGGCATTATACTCGTCCACTGCACCAAAGAATAGGGCATTTCAGTTTAATCATTGTTGGCTCAAGTTGAGGAATTCTCCTAAGTTTCAAACACTAGAATCCCACAAGAGGCCACGGTCTAGGAAGTCTTCGACCCCAATTGAGAGAGCTGGTGAAGAAGATGAAGGAGATGATGCTAGCAAGAGTACAGCTCCTGATTTATCTCAGCCGAGTGCTAAAAAGAGACCAATAGATAGGAAGCAAGCAAAGGAGAAGTTGAAGAATGGAGGAGAAGATGGACCATACAAAGAGGCGATGAAAGATTTGCTTGACGCTAAAGAGAAAGAAGCAAAATTGAAAGAAGAGAGATGGAAGGGAACTAAGGAGATTCAAGAGCGCAAGCTCTTATTTGCTGAGCGTAAGTTAGTGTGGGATCAAGAACAGAAGATTATGTTTTGTGATGTTTCCACCTTGGAACCGGATGTGAGAACGTATGTGTTGGCTATGAGAGCACAGATTGCAGCTTCAAAGGTGGCTGCCCTCAATGGTGGATTTGATGGTAGTAGTGGCTTTGGAGGTGAGTTTGGTGGCGGTAATGGAGAAGTTTGAGCACTTCGATGGAATAAGTTGGATTCTATTGGATGATCCATGTGTCCTTTACTAGTAGGATATGCCATTATCACGATTGGTCTTTGGAGTCCTTTTTTGTTAATTATTTCCACAATAATTTTAGTGTCACTTGCTAGTAGGATATATATTACTTTCAGATTTGTTATTTATAATTGAACCATTCATGGTTGTATGATGTATTATTTTTAAATTATATAATGCATCATTGGGTTCACATAGTCTATTTTTTATGAGCAATTTTCATTTTCATTGGTGAATTACGAATCTTGGTTGCATCTTGTTGTCGTATATGGCACTGTACCCATACCATATTTACATGTTTAAAAATTTTAATTTTGTATTCGAATTGTAGTGTTTGAAATTGTGAATTTAAGTATGGTTAAATTATGTGAGTTAGAAATAATTGTGTTCGAATTTTTGTTGTGTTAAACGTACTGTATATGGATTGTATTTTAAAATACAAGATAAACATGAGTAGGGACTAAGAAAAAGGGGCTACTGCTGGAGTTGGAGGCATTTTTTTAGTCCTTGAGAAATGGGGACAGCCCTCATTTAACTTTTAGGGGCTTCAAAATAAGGTCTATTGCTGGAGAATTGACACAACCTAGGGCTATGAATCTAGATATATGGATGTAGCGTACTTGACCCATATGGACCCATATAGGGCTTACCTTATGTATCAATTCTATTTCACATTCAAATCTGCATATCAATTATATTTATAAACTATTATTCACCAATCGCTGAGTCAAGATTATTGGCAATGTGATTGTTTAAGAAATTGACTATCCGAGATCGGATGAACACCTATGCTATCAAGTTGTAAAGAAGAACGGAAATTGGCAATATTGATTACATGACATATCACCTTATACTAGTTAATGAACACGAATAACTAAATTAGTTGTACAATCTCATGAAATAAAATAAGAATTGCATCCTCATGACTTTATTTAAATAAAAAAGTATAAGCATAAAACAACATTAAAATAAGAAATTGAAAAACCTCAATATAAGAATGCGATATTTCAAAAAACATGACTATATGCACTATGGCATATTAAATCAGTCAACATAACAAAAATTGATTAAACATCCATATAGCACTTTTAAGTAACCATGATGTATCATGTCTTTAAAAATTAGAAAATAATTCAACTTAACTCGATGGATTCATTGTTTTCATCAATTAGATCTATTTTAAAAGACCTTAAGTCGAGACATGTCATGTCTTAAAAACTCTAAAAACAACAAAAGAAATTCTGAGATAAAACAAAACATCTTATAATACATTTTCACTAAAATTATTTAGAATAATAAAGTCCCTCCTTCTCCTCCTCCCTCTCACATGCAGACATCACTACCGTCCCCTTCCTTATTTTTTTTAGCTATTAAAATAGAAGAGAAACAATCAATCTTGAAACAGCTATAATTTTTCATAAGCTACACGTCCGGTTACTTATATGTTTCGGTTAATATTTTACCTTTGTAAGTTTCTCAAACATGTTAGGTTTAATCTTGTTGTTTACGTGCATTTTGGGTTGAGTTAGTCATGTGCATGTGTAGGGGAGTAAGTCACAAGTGAATTCGTGAGTGAGTTAGTTAGATCAGTGACCATGATCTGCATGCGAGTGTTCATGCAGCTGGCTTGGAGGTGCGGCCAAGTTTGTGGAGTCATGGAGTGAATTGTGGATCATCTAGCTCACAGCATGCATGTGTTAATTAGTTAGTGGTGCTTTGCATGCAAGTAGGAGTGGCTTGCATGTAGGTATAGATGGCCAAAAGGCCCGCCCGGCATGGCCCACCAGCCATCGGGCCGGCACGGCCCGATCGACACTTCGTGCCGGGCAGTGCTGGCCCATGGGCTGCGCCTCCTGCCAAGGCACGGCCCCACCAGCCGTCGGGCCGTGCCGGGCCGGCTCGAAGGCGTGGTTGGCCCATCGTGCCTTTTTTAAATAAGTCTATTTTCCGTCCCTCCTCTTTGGGCTAACATATATATATATATATATATATATATATATATATATATATATATATATATATATATATATATATATATATATAGCTAAAATAGACATTATAGCTAAAATAAGTCTATTTTATGTTCCTATTCTTTCGACCGTGGCATATAATGTCTATTTTTACTCCCTATTGTTTTTGTGTCGGGCCTGGCCTGCGGCCCATCGTGCCGTGCCAGCCCGGCCCAACGTGCTGGTGGAGAGGCCCAGGCATGGCCCGGTGGTCGGACCGGGCCGGCACGGGCCTGACCCCTGACGGGCCGTGCCGTGCTTGGGCCAGGCCAAAACGCCGTGCCGTGGGCCGGGCCGTCGGGCCTCGGGCCTTTTGTCCATCTATACATGTAGGGAGGTGAGTGAAGTGTATTTGGCCGAGCTGTGCGGCAGAACGTGGCATGGGTTGAGGGTGAGCAGTTGCTCCAGTAGTGCATGGGTGTGCTTTTATAAGCATGTAATCAGTTTGTGTGTGTGAGATGAAAAATACAAGTGCATTGGTGCTGGTGTGCAGTGCCAAAACAAATACATCTCTTGTGCTTTCAGAATTTTTCTTGTGTGTTTTAGCCACAATATCGTGCGTGCGTTCTTAGTGTTTGGGCTAACAAAACACAGTATATGATGCATGACTACGCGAATGCGTAGGCTACCTTTCTAGTTAAATATAAATCATTCATTTTCCATGACTTACGAGTAGTTGTATGCACACTTTTTGCAATTGCAAGAGAAGCAGCTTTGCATGTTCATACATATATCAAATACATATAGCACCTATATTATGCGTCCTGCAGATCTTCTCTAGTTTCCCAATCAAATCCTCTGATGTCCAATCCAAGAAACCTGTCCATGAAGATGATGTTGGCTGGCGTTCCATCCCTCAACAACGATGATCACCGGCGGCGGGGGCATGGGAGAAGCGACCTGATCACCGTCAAGGTGATGGCCATTTTGCCTCTGCTGATCTCCACTCCAGCCCACTCCATCGGCGGTGTCGTCGACGACGACGACGATGTGGAGTATGTGGAGATAACATGCTACATCGACACGCAGCCATTCGACTACTGCTTCGAGCAAGCCTACCTGTTGCTGTCCGACAACGAACCACGCAAGACTGTACATGGTAATCACCCTGTCCTTGCACCCAAACGCAAAGGTCAGGATACTTTCACCGCTCCACCGAGGAAGTGGCTCAAGATGCATCTTGTCTGCCGGAAGCCTCGCATCGATAGGTGCACGATAGCCCTTAGATTCGATACCATATATCTGATGGCATTCAGCACTAATCAGAACCAGTGGTACAGCATGTACTCTGGGTTCCCAATTGCTCACACCAGACTCCCCTTTGATGAGGATTACTTTGCTCTTGCCGGGGGCACAAGTAATCTGGTTACTGTGCCATTGGGGAAAGAATCTGCGCTGGATGCAATACACACCCTTGCTACATTCGATGGAGAAAGTGCCAATGACTTGAAGATACCGCTGGTGAAGTTGAGGATAATGTTCTCTGAAGCCCTTAAGCTAAAGCCCGTGCGTTTGGCCTTTTCTAGAGATTGGAACGAGGAAACCCACATCACCAAACAAGACGCGAACTACATTGGATGTTGGGGCCTAATGTCATTCAATCTTGTAGCCTGGAAGAACTCTGGCTACGCGTACTGGAAAAGCGAGAAGAAATTGGAAAACTGCCTTGTGAACACCCCATGGAATGCCTCAGAAGTGGGCGATCTTCTCATGCGTCCAAATGACGAGGCGATCTGAACTGTTATATGTAATTCTACTTATATACATGTTTGCATGCATAATATTCTGTTTTAATTTATAAATGTCGTTAAGAATATATTGTAAGGCTTAATTTCTGTGATTGAAGTCTAATGCAAAGACCAAGTTTGTGTTCTTCTGTGATGTGTGACTTCTTTATAAGAGATATGTTATTATTTGTAAATAATAACTCCTAATTAATCATATCTCAAACTGCTCTTACTCATTAATTCTTCATTCCTCAAATCCAACTATCCATATTTAATCCAAGATCGCCTCCCCTAATCCACACACAAGCCGGTGTGTCCCAAGTGCAAAGGAGGTGAGGAGGACCTCCATTGCATCTTTCAGCCGCCTCTGCCCAACTGCCTCCACTGCCTTTCCCCCTCGCCCTCGCTGCACCCTTGTGGCTTCTGTGATACGGGTGTGTTCCCATGCATTATTTTTTTAAGATAATAAAAGAATATTATGGCTTTTGCTCAACGAGTTACAACCAATTATTAAAAAATCTGCTCAACAATGAGCGGGTGTGTTCCCATGCATGGTCACTGGGGTTTTTCTTGTGGGAAGAACTTTGTTGAACTAGTCAACTAGCAGGAAGAGAGCATGCATGCATCTCAGATCAGCTAGAATTAATGAGGTTTAAAAAAGGTAGCCATATAAAGGCCGTTTGGTAACTCAAGTTTCATAGGTTAAAACAAGGTAGCCATGCAATTCTCCTTTGCAGATGGTTCAAATCATGTTAAGAAGCCATGCCAAAAAAATTGATAGGGCCGATTTGTGTATTAATCCAAATTGGCCATTTAACCTTTTGCTTCCTTTAGCTTTTTGCTCCGTCCTGCCGCAACTCGATCGTTCTGTATTCTGCAGCGAATACTATATATGGCGACTTAGGGCCTTTTTATTGAATAGGAAAACACATAAATTAAAATAATTTGCTTCTCAAATCCTATAGAAATAAAAAACAAAGGAAAAACAATTGGAGCCTTTTGATGGTGCCATGGAAAAAACAAAGGAAAAAGAAAGTTCAGAAAATGTCACACTTCTTACTATTTTTCCTATGAAATGTGAAGCTTAAAAATACAATCCTATGATATTTTTTCCTATGAATTAGAAGGACATGTTGAAAAATCTATAGGAATTTGAAACCTATCAAAATCCTACAAATCAAACGGGCCAAGGTGCGTTTGAATCTGTAATTTCATCAAGTTTTTTTTAGGCATGTGAAATATGATGAGTATTGCGAAATTGAATAGCTGGTTTTATTTTCAGATAATAGAATAAAATTCTGGTCATTGCTCAAAGAGCTACAACCTATTATTATGGAAAACCGCTGAACAACGAGAACACACCAAGTCCAAAATAGCACACCCAACAAACAGGAAGCAAAGCACATACTAATTACCACCAAAACTAGACAAAGACCACGCAATTATTGAAGCCTATTTGTGAATCTTCATCCGCAATTGATGAAAATATGCATAACCATTACCTCTAGGTTACGGCATGCAGAATGCATAAGTTTGATGTCCTCATCACACATTTGTAGTTGTGCCCAAAACTGAAGTCAATACGTTGCCCTGAAAAGTGATTTGACAGTGATTTGTAGTTGTACCCAAAAGTATCTGCATATAAGATTTTGACAGTGATTTGTCAAAACCATATTATTTCTGCTAAGCCATAGAGCCCAATATATAGCAAATGCTCCTACAAGAATAAGTTCATTGTTTTTTTATCAATACCCACAAGCCAATTTTCAAAGTTATGAGATATGATATGTAGAGGATATAAACCAAAAGAATTTTGTACTGATCTTCAGATAAATCTGGCAAAATGACAATCTATAAATAAATGATATATTGTCTCATTTTTCAATAAAAAACAACATCTCATACTACCATTACAATTTATCCTAGACAAATTATCCTTAGTTAGCACTACTCCTTTAAGCATATACCACGTACAAATCTTAATCTTAATAGACATCTTAAGTTTTCAGATAATATTGTTTCTCTTAATATAACCATTATTAATTAAAGCAAAATACATGGAATGAACTAGGAATTGACCATTCTGATGAAAATTACATTTAAATATGTCATTCCTTTCTGTCAAATGAATATGCACAATTGAACCACATAAGTTATGCCAATTGACCAAATTTTGGCCTACTAATACTCTTCTGAAAGAAATATTCAATGAAACAAAACTCATAATATTTGCAACTGAAGAGTTTCTCCTACGAACTATAAAGTACAAAGACGGGTATCCATCCTTAAAGGAAGTTATCCGCAGGTGATACACGCGGACCGTATTCTGATGGTATTGGGTACGTTGGTACGAGGATCTACACGATACGACATCAAGCACACATGAGACAAAGATTACACTGGTTTAGGCCTTCGTGGGGTAATAGCCCTAATCCAGTTTATATGGGAATATGGAAAACCACAGAGATTACAATAGAGAATAGTGGAACCCTGAGATTACCAGTGAGATCCCTGTCGGGAACGACTCGACGAGATCCACTAGTGAGTTCGCTTCGAGTCCTCTGGATTGCTTCTACTCTGGCGGGTGTCTTGAGCTGAGATTCGTTGCCTTGCATCCCTCGAGGGGTCCTGTATTTATACCGTGGATTATCATGGTCTCTAAGTAGAACTCGAAGATACTTGTCTATGTACGGGATCACAAATCCTATATCTCCTCCGAATAGGACTCTAACACTTTCTATTCAAGAAGCCAGTTTCCTTACAAATCGGCCATTTTTCTTAGTTCGGAGGTAACTTTCCCGTATACTTGAGGATATATCGTATTCATATATCTCACGACCTCAAGTATAGGAGGTATGCCTTATCCGTAACCCTGACATCAGTATTTCCTATCCACTTATCCTTCTAGAATATTACTTGTTCACCATTATTAACTACCCAAAATCTTAGTTGTTCACCATTATTAACTACCAAGAATCTTAGTTGTTCGCCATTATTATCTACCCAGGAACCCATATTTAAATGGGTTAATTAGATCCATGCCATTGCAAATTTGTGTATTCAGAAAAATGTCTGCCACTGAAATTTTACAAAATGGAATCTATGCCATCGTTGCCACGTTCTTCGTCACTGCCGTTTCTTTCTTCCTTCATTTCTCCCCTTTTGTTCTCCTGGCTACCGCTCATCAGCGTGACGGAGCTGGTGGAGAAGTTGATGCCGCTGCCAAGCACGACTCCCTCCGCGTCATCTCCTCCCTCCTAACCCGCGGCAGCAGCGTCGAAGCCTATCACCATGGCCGCACCATCCTCCCTTACCATGGGGCCGGAGTCAGAGCCAGAGCTAGTGGTGGCGGCGGAGGAGCGCAAGTGCACGGCTTGGACTCGAGCAATGCGGATGCCACAGCAAGGTAGGGCTAGTACGACTGCTGTGGGCGGCGGCGGCTAGGGTGTTGTTGTCCTTGCTATTGGCTACCACCGTTGGCGCTGCCATTGGGGAGCGGGAGACAAGGATTTAGGGTTAGTTTGGTCTACGCCGGCCGCATGCTCGCCCACTCCGCTACCGCGCCCTCTTATTCTGCTCCTCCGCAGTGCTAACCTCGCCACGACGGCCGCGCGCCCGTTGGGCTCGACCGCTCTGGCCAAGGTAGCGTTCTTGGCTGTGGCGCTATGGACCGTCGTGCCGTGCTCCCCGTGGAGAACTCGCTTTGCGGTAGCACCCGCCGTGTTCTCTGGCAGGAGGAGCCACATCGGCACCACAGCGGCGCTGGAGACATGGTGGTGGTCGTCGCCGTCGCCGAGCAAAGAGGTGAGGAGAGGGAAGAAGACGAAAGAAGGAAGGGAGAAGACAAAAAGGAAGGAGATGGATGGAAAACATGACGGCAGTGTCATGGTTCTAATTTTGTAAAATTTCAGTGACATGGTTATAAATAGACGAATTGTAATGATATTTTTTTAAATAGGCAAATTTGAATGGCATGGATCAATTAACCCTATTTAAAAATATACTCTTAACTTTCATAAATCCCCATAAAAAATGGGAATCTCCTTGGTTCTTCTCAACTTGGTTAATTGATTAATTCTTTAAGTATTATCTTTTCAATAAGTCTTGCCAAACACCTTGTTCATTTATTAATTTAAATAATCATTTACTCAATAAACTTTGCTTTTGAAATTCTAAATTATGAACTGCAAGACCACCTGATCTTTTGGCTGATATATAATGCCCCATTTTGTAAGTCTATACTTCTTTTTTTTGTTCATCACCTTACCAAAAGAAACGTAATTTATAATAATCAATTTTTTTAAGAACTCCTCTTGGAATATAATAAAATAAATCATATGGTGGTTTAATTGGTTTTTTGAAAGATACTTCTATTTAAAAAGTAGTTGAAAAAATGTCTAACAGTTTAGTAAATGTGTTCACGGTTAGGAAAAAATTACTTCCAAACTCAATTTTGGCTATGTTCGGCTAAATGACTTGGGAAAACAGGACAGCTTATTAGCACATGAGCTTTATTTTGAAAAATAGATCAATACGATTTTTCACAACAACTTCTTTTAAGAAAATATACCATTTAGCAGTTTGAAAAAGAGTACATACGAAAAACGAGGGAGGAGATGTTATGGAAGCATAGTAAAAAAAAACAAGACTAGGGTTGATCCACTTTGGCCGTCGGTTCATCGGTCGAAACATCAGTTTTTTATTTATTAGTATTATATTTTATTTGCTTTATTTTAAATATAGAGCCATCACAAATCTGTAAAAATATGCATAAATAAACCAGTATATCTATTATTATTATATGACCACAACATAAAAATAAATAAATATAGCGTGGTAACATAATAAATTCATACTGCCATCATACCATCCTACAATAGACAAATTTAAAACCGGTTCGATTCTTCAGAAACCGCCACAGGTTCACCGGTTCCCATAAAATCCGACCGGTTTATCGGTTTTTTACCGGTTTGATTATAGGGACGGTCTTTTTACTGAACTGAGCCGCCAAGGTCCCTAGTTCTGTTTTTTTCTGGTAGTCGGTCCGGTCCGATTTTTTAAAACTATGTATGGAAGTTAATACAGATGTTCTTTCCTTCCCGTGCTTTTG